AAATATCCTGTGTTTGCAAATGAGTTGCTTTTTCAGCCTGCTTCTTGTTCACATAAAGTTGAGTGTCCCGAGGCCTCTTTTAATTTTGAACCATCTCTGTTCTTTTTAGTTCAAGTTGGTAGTGCTTCTACTAATACAACCCTCTTAACACCATTGCGGCTTTTCTATTAATTGTATTTAGGTTGACTCTATTAGATAAAAGCCACGTCCTAAAATATCCTGAAGAAAGTCCCCTCTCTTCTTTAGGCTAAGACTCAAGATACTTGGAGACAATTCTCTTAAAAAGTCGTATAGCCTTTAGTCTAATTGAGAGTGTCTATGAATCATACCTTCGATCTCATATCTGTCCCTGGGCTCAAAATAATCTTGAAATAATTTTTACCTGGAGGCCATACTTTATTTGATGTGTGCTGAATTTAATCATTGCTTAGTCCATATCCTGCTTTGAGAGTCTTAAATTGAGAAAGATTGGGAGTTAGACAGTTTCATTTTTGGATCTAGCAAGTCTTGGCTTCTATAGAGTCCCTTTAAATTCAGCTTGAAAATTGAATAATTCCTTTAGTTCAACTCCCTTTTATGTATTTTGTCTTAGACAAATAGAACAAGCCAATGGCAATTTCAACATTCTGATTGGAAATCTCCTTAGCCTCATTACAAGATCATTAAGTATTTTTTCTACTTTTCATTATCTACCCTTTCCAATTTTAAGCTTGGTAACACCATTGTCAAGCTTTCTGCCACTATGTAACATGGGTCATCTTTTATCCAACTGTACTAATTTGCTAGGGGTGCCATAATAGGGTGCACCAAACTGGGAGGCTTAAACAACAGAAATTTATTGTCTCAGTTCTTGGAGGTTAAAAGTCCAAGATCAAGGTGTTAGCAGGATTAGTTTCTTCTAAGAACTGTAAGGGAAAAATCTGTTCCATGCCCCTCTCCTGCTTCTGGTAGTTTGCTGGCCATCCTTGGTATTCCTTGGCCTGAAGACTCATCGCCTTGATCTCTGCCTTTATGTTCACATGGTTTTCTCTCTGTGTACATGTTTTATGTCTAAATTTCCCCTTTTATATGGACACCAGTCATATTGAATTAGGGCCCATTCCAATGACCTCATTATAACTGGATTATCTCTGTAAAGAGTATCTCCAAATAAGATCATATTCTGAAGTACTGGGGGTTAGGACTTAAACATATGAATTATTCACAATTCAACTCATAACACTAGTCTTCAATAACAATTCCCTCACTGTCCTTCAAGCCTTCATTTGAGGCCATTTTAGCTCCTGCACACTCCCTATTCAAAGCCAACAGCAAATATTTTTTGTTAGCACTTTCTAACTTTGTCAACATCAATATCACTTAAGGGCTGATCAGGGAAGCAGCTGCAGTGTGTTCTATAGAATTTATTATAGAGATTTTTATACATCACAATTGCAGGAGAAGCTAAGGAAGAAAAGTCTGAAAGGACATAAAGGAAAGATCAGAGAAAAGTGATTAACCAGGGATCACAAAGAAAGTTGGTGAAGAAACCTATGGAAGGCTGTTATCCCTGAATCCAGTAATGAGTCTGAAATTGGTAGATCATCATAGCTAGCAGTCAGGAAGAAAATTTGGATTGAACTGGGGGAGAGTGAGGACAAACTAGAATCCACAAAGACAAATTGAGACCCATGAGAACAAATGGAACTCCTAGCTAACTCTCATGTCAACAATGCAGGTAGTCTGCAGAAGTTGATGCCCTTTCCATGGAACTGCCTGTGTGCCCTGACCCAGGGCTCAGAGAAGATGAAATAAGAGATATGATGGGAGCTGGAGGAACGGGGGTCCAGCTGCTATTCTGTACCAACGATGTGTGCCAGCAGATAAGTAACAAGTTTAGAATCAGCAGTTGGTACCTGGCTCCCTAGATCAACCATCAGGGCACAAGGGCAGCTTTACTTGCTCCTTCTAAATCTTACACAAATTTCTCTTGTGGTCAATCCTATCCTGGAACCAGACTGGGCAGGGAAATTTGGGAAACTAAATTCCAGTTTAGCTAAATTGACAGTACAAAACCACCACATGAGCCAAACATCAACAGTTGCCAGATACCATGATGCCGTGTCTCATTTATTTTAGTTTTTCACTTAAGCTTCGTAATATTTTTGTAAGATTAGTATCCCCATTTTACATGTGAAGAAATGAAGCCTTGGATTTGCTCATACGTGGGCAAATGGTGGAGCCTGGATTCTGCCCCACATCTGTGTAGTAGTCAGCTTCCACAGTGGCTCCAGCGATTCTTGCCTACTGGCATTCACATCCCCTGCTATATGAACTAGGTCTGGCCTGAGCAATCAGTAGAACATTTCAGAAATGATGGTGAGTGACTTTCAAAGCTGGATTATAAAAGATATTGTAGCTTCTACCTTTCTCTTTCTAGGATAATTTGTTCTGGGGAAAGTCAGCTGACATGCTGTAAGGATGTTCAAGTACCCTGCGGACAGACTCACTTAGGGAGGCCTTTTATAAACAAATTCATGTGGGTGAGTTATCTTGGAAGTAGATTCTCTAGCACCAGCCTAGCCTTTAGATGACTACAGCCCCATATCTTCACTGAAATCTCCCAAGAGATTTCAATCCAGAACTGTAGAGCTAAGTGACTTCTAAATTTTGGACCCATAGAAAATATGATTTGTTTATTATTGTCTAGAGCTGTTAAATTTTGGGGTAATTGGTTGCACAGTGATAGATAACTAATATAATCTGTTAGGTTCCAAAGCATGGCTCTTTCCATGACATCATTCTGCTTTAAAATTCGTTTGGATTATGAGAATGGGGATTGTGGAAGAAGTAGGAATTTGGAAGTTCAGAATGTCCTGGTTATGTCATTAAAAAAAAAAAAAAAAGCTTTGAAATGTCTGGTGCTTCCAGACACTTGAGAGAGGGGGTGTCATCTAGTGGTTAAGCTGAATCTTGAGAATTAGGAGCGTTTCTTTTTTTGTCACTACACAGGGAAAGCTGAGTTGGCATGAAGAAATTAGAGGTTATATCACGTGCTTCTGCTGACTAGCCGACTGGGGCTGGAGTTGAGGAAGATAAGTGATAGAAACTGCATTCTTGCAGGGCAAGCAAGGAACCGACAGTCCCTTTGCTTCTGCACCTTCCCGTCAACTGAGCCATCCTCTTCTCTGCCCCACCATATTCCCTTTGGTCTCAAGCTCACGGAAGCGGCTCCTTCCTTTTCTGCTCTTTCCAAACCTTTTCCTTATGATGCTTTATTTTTTATTTTAATAAAGTACATATGTGTGTTTAGGAACATAAAAGAGGAAAACAAAACCAGACTTTATTTGAGAGCCATCTCCATTTGAAAACTCTTGGTATTTGCTTTTCTCTCCATATTGTTCATATTTGGTCTTGGATCAGAGAGGCTAAGCGCTGTGCCTGGTGACCTAATTGGGTTGGAATCAGCCAGCAATACTCATTATCCTAGGATGCAAGCACAAGAACCTTTCCAGAACATCTGGTGCAACCACGTTCATTTAACATGTGGAGAATTTGAAGCCTCATGACCTCAAGTTACTATTGGTAACATTAACTGAACATCTGTAACGAGGAGGATGCCCTTCTAGACTTGGATAAGTTCTTTTAAAGGGTCCACCCATTCTCACTAGTAAGATAGGTGGAGTGATTGGGGGCGGGGTCCTTCCAGATTTCCTGTTATGCAAGCACAGAAACACCAGGAACGGCGGCATAAGCCAAGTCAAACCCTTCCTAAGTTGTAAACTGACTCTCAATAGCTGATGGTTAGAAAGAAAACGATGCCTGACTCTGACTTCTACATCCACCTTAAAACTTGTCCTCCAGAGCCCACAGTAGGCATCAAGAAACGTTGCGAAATGAAATGAAGCGCTTCTCGGCTTCCCATCCCCCTCGACATTCTCTCTCTCTAGGGACCGCGCTACAATTTGGGGTCCTCCCTGGGGACTTTTCGGGGTCTTGTCTCGTCTCCTGACAGTGACCGCGTCCCTGGGGCAGGACCAGGTCGCCCTTTTTCACTGCGGAGCGCTGTCTGGAACCAGGCAGGCTGCTCACCCCGACTCTCATATTTTTCCTCGCGATGGGCGGCTCTTTTTTTGAGGGGTACGCGAGCATCGAAAATGACCCGAGCCGACCTGGGGAACAATAGAGGGCCGCGGGGTGGCGTTTACCGTCCTAGCCAGGGCAGAGGGCGGGGCATTCTCACGGGTATGGGTGGGCAGACCCACCCGCCGGCGTTCCCGCCCCGGCGCGCTGCT